AAAAGGGGGGGGGGGGGGAAGAGAACTGGAAACAGGGACTCAAACAGATACATGAACACCTATGTTCAAAACAGCATGACTCACAATTGCCAAAAGGTGGAAACAACCTAAGTGTGCAACAACAGATGAGCGGATAAACAAAATGTGGTCCATTTGCACAATGGAATATTACTAGGATATGAAAAGGAGTGAAGCACTGACACAGACTACAATGTGGATGAACTGTGAAAACATCATGCCAAGGGAGAGAAGCCAGACACAAAATGCCACGTGCTACGTTATCCTATTTACACAAAATCCAGAACAGGCAGATCCAGAGACAGAAAGCAGATCACTGGTTGCTGGGTGGGGGAAGGGGGAACGGGGAGTGAATGCTTTTGAGATGATGGAACTAGATAGAGATGATGGTTGTAGAACACTGTGAATGTGCCAAAAACCACGGAATTGCACACTGGAAAAGGTTAATTTTATGTTATGTAAATTGCACCGCAATTAAAAAACATACACAAAAGCCAGAAAGTGAGTCTCTCTGAGAAGTAAGAGTACAAGGTTTGTTTGTTTTTTTTTTTCCTAAACTACTCTTATTTTTTCTTATATATTTTCTTACAAGTAACATCCCTAGTATATGCAAAAAGAGAAAAAAGAGGCCCTTTCAATAATAATTTTAAAACATTGGACAAACTACTTCACATGCCAATATAGACTTCCAAAGTTCCCAATTTCAAAAATAATATGGTGTGTCAAAAGCTGCTTTGAGTTTTGAACCAACGCCTGGAGTTCTACCCAGGTTTGCTGAGGGGAAAAAGTGAAAACCAGCCAACCTCAAACCATGAAAACAAAACAGACAAGGTGGCCCTGTGTGGGATGGTTCCAAGAAGGACCAGTCCCACCTTTGTGTCCCACCCGGCAAACTGAAACCTCCTTCTCCAAGTCTCTACTTTCCGATCTGTAAAATGGTCTAAGGACCTACAGGACCCCCAGGAGAAGCCTTCCTCCTCCCATGGGATGGCTCTCTCCTCCCCAAAGGGCTCAGGCCAGGGGCCTGGTATCCTCCTGGCACCCTCACATCTAGTCTCCAAGCAGGGACTGAACCCACTGCCTTTCTCCACAGCCCATACAGGCCTCCACTCCAGCCTCCTGCTGTCCCCACTCCTGCCCCAAAAGGCCAGGATCCCATGGCAGCCACCTCACCCTGATTATGCCATCTGTTGTAGGTTGAATGTTGGAAGTCCTAACCCCTAGTATCTGTGACTATGACCTTATTTGGAAATATGGTCTTTGCAGATGTAATAAAAATGTAAGTTAAGATGGGGTCATACTGGATTAGGGTGGCCCTAAATGCAATGACTGGTGACCTTAGAAGAAGAGGAGACACAAAGGAGAGAAATCGATGTGACCACGAAGGCAGAGATTAGGGTGATGCAGCCACAAGCAAAGGACACCTAGAGCCACCAGAAGCTGGAAGAGGCAGAAAGGATCCTCCGTTGGAGCTTTTTGGGGGAGCATAGTCCTGTTGACATCTGGATTTCAGACTTCCAGCCTCCAGAACAATATACTTCCCAAAATAGAGTCCCCGCCAGTGTTTGAGACTTTGTTCCAGGAGCCCCAGGACACTGATACACCATCAATTGCCTTTCTACAACTTCATCACAGCGCTGGCTGCCTTCTGATGTTTCCTTACTCAATTTGGTTTTTCTGGTCACATCCACCTTTCCCAGGACACCAGCAAGGTAGGGCTCAGCCTATGTAGATTTTCACTGTGTCCCCAGGGCCAGGAAGAGGGCACTGGTAGGGGCTCATCAATGTGTGTCGATTGATAAATTAAAAAGGCACAGACCTCAACTCAGGGCCTGGCACATACACAAAACCAGTCAGGTTGGCACCACTACGTTCAACCTCCCCAGCAGCCCTGCCATCAACACCCTCCCCATCTGCACCAGGGGAGGGAATTACACCCAGGTCAAGGGAACAGGAAGGCCCGTGACCTGTGGGCATTTATCCAGCATTATTTCATTCAACACTTAATGTCCCCCTTTCCCAGAGGTAACACTCGCCCAGGAAGAGGAAATGAAAATCAGGCCTCAGCAGCTCAGTGTCACCAAGTTCCCCCAGTCCCCAACATATCGTCCTGCTTCTTGAAGTGACCCTGAGAGTGTCATCGAGGGTGTATGGAGATCTGGTGTCACTTGTAATGGCGATAAAAGTAGAGATGAACCAAGTGTCCAACCACAGAGGACAGTTGGGAACACAATCTAATGGTTAGGAGCCCAGGGGCCCCAGATTGAATCCCAGCCCTTCCAACTAACCAGCTGGATTGCCTCTGACAATTCACATCCCTTCTTGTGCCTCAGTTTACCCCTCTGTAAAACGGAGTTAAGGATAGTCTCCACACTCACTGCTCTGCCTTCCCTTTGGACACCCTAGAAGCCTCCTGTGATCCATAGGCAGGGAAACTCACCAAGATATAATCGGCCCACATGTCCCGGGCAGATTTCAGGGCTGCCTGGCGCAACTTCATGACGTGCTCATAGCGTGAGTCAGACCAATGTTTGGGGCCCTCTTCATCTTGGTAGGACCTGAGGAGAGGCAGCTGTGATGTGGGGAAGCACAAGCACTGTGAGAGCCCAGAGAGGGCCCAGGCTGTGGAGTGGTCAGAGATGGCTTCCTGGAGGAGGGGATGGGTGAGCTGGATCTGAAGGCTGGGAAGAAGCAAGCAAGGGGAAAATGGGAGGGAAGTGCATCTGTAGCAGGGAACATAGCAAGGCCAAGGCCATGAGGGGAGGAAGTCCAGACAATCTACAGAGAAGGAAGAAAGCTCAGGAGAAGGGAGAGCCACTGGGAGAGATGCAGAACAAAAGAAAAATGGAACCTGAAGAATCTGTGAAGCTGAGGGTGGGTCAGAGTAGTCAGAGTAGCCATGGCTGCCACTTAAGGCTGCAGAATTAGGCTAGAATCAGGGGCTGAGGGACTAGGGTTTGGTTGCAGGACAATGGGGAGTCATGGAGGGTGTGTGAGCAGGGGTGCAACTGAGTCCATCTGGGAGGGCTCAGGGCAGGGCCTGGCACTCACCGGGGCTCCTCTGCTGGCCGCCACTCCACGGAATGGTACAAACTCTTCACGGCCACCAGCCATTCCCGCAGCACTGCTGATGTGTTGTCTGAGTTGTGGTCTGTGGCCACCCTGCAGGTGGAGGGGGACAATCAGTGAGGATGGGGAGCCCAAAGCCGGATGGGGCATCAGCGCAGCGCCTGGGCTCTGAACTCTGGTTCAGCCTGTTATCAGCTACACAGTCCTGGGCAAGACACTTCCCCCCCTCCATGCCTCAGTTTCCTCATAACACAGGGTAAGGACACTTCACTAGCCTGCAGAGAAGATTAAATAAGCTAATTTTAGAAAACACATGAGACACTATTAGTACTGTTGAGCATCTAGGATCTTATAAGGTTATGTACTAAACATGTGCGATTTAATAAAAATACAACTACATCATACAGTTCCACCCCACCTTCCTCCATTCTCTCCTTTGAACTGCACCACCTCAGAGTAAGCTGTGCTCACTCATTCATTCAACAAACATTTCTTAAGCATCAACCGTGCACTTGGATTATCCAGACTAGGGTGGGAAAAAGGGACACTTGGGAATCTACTTTGACCATGGAGCCCAGAGCTATTTTCCCAAACAAACTGTTACTAAGTTGACAAGGACAGCAGTGCTAACAGTAATAATCACAGCAGCTCTGGTCGCTGAACGCCAAGCCATGATGCCCAGCACAAGGGCTTCACACCTATTAACTGATTAATCTTAAAAGACAAACCCAACCAGGGTTGTATTAATACTCTTTTTTCCAGATGAAGGACACTGAAGCCGGAGGCAGGAAGTCACCAGTCAGGCTTGTTCATGGCTGTATCCCAGTCCCCTTCCAGGGAGGGTCACTTACCCTGGGGCCATACGCCACCCACCCACTCCGGTTAGAAGCCCGATTCAGGCTGTTTTCAGGGCAATGCAGCAGAAGTGGAAAGATGTGCAGTTAGCGGAAGTCCAATGTGGGCGCCAGCAAGGCCCTAGCAGCGGCTCCAGGCTCCCCGGAGCCTGTGTGTATTCCAAAGGGGTTTAGAGGGTTAGGCAGGGCGTCCTGCCCTGGGTGTGGTCCTGGATCTGCCCTAACCGGGGGCCAGCAAGCATATCGAGGGTTCGGCCCATTCTTATGCAGGGGGCGGCAGGGGACAGCAGGAAGAGTGCACCCGTGGGGCCGGTCCGCAGATGGGGACAAAAAGCTGAGAGCGCGCGTGGGTCTGGCCCGCCCTGCCCGGTGCCAGGCAGCGGGCAGGACGCGGCGCGG